GCACTTCGCATTTTATCAACCTCCTAGAAGTGCTACGGCCGTATACAGTGGCAACGGCATTCCTATGACACAACGGCAGGCGCCGGGCGCCTTCTCGTGCACGACGTCGATTTGGTTTTTTAAACTGCCTCGAGAATCGCTTTAATGAACTGCACTTTAGTCCGTGATCCTATGACATTTTCTTGACATTTTGCAGGGGCGCCCCTCTGCAGCTTCCTAATGCGGGCGAATCGCGCGTCTGGCCAAGGTTAGCGCCAAAATTTCCCGGCCTGACAGATGCAGCTTCAGTATCACGATAAAACTTTGTTTTCTTTTAAATATATATCTTAGTAGGCTGCGAAAAAAAAACTTGAAGTCTGCGTCAAATAGTTTTTTATTGACAGCATTTTAAACAAGAGTCCGAGGTCATAACGGAAGATATTGTTGCGATCGTGTTGGTGGTATTGAGTGATCGACGTTTAAAGGTCAAGGAAATTTCAGAAATTACTAAGCTTTCTCGATACAAATGTTCGTCGAATCCTGCATGATCATTTAGATATGTCTAAGGTTAGGTCAAGACGGGTTCCCAAAAACCTTTGTGCCATTCAAAAACAACGCCGTGTCGAGTATGTGCGGTCTTTTTTGGAACTCTGTGGGTCGGAACCCAAGCCTGTGATAGGAACTATTGTTACGGGAGATGAAACTATGGTTCTCTGTTATTACCCTCTATAAAAAAGAATCAATGGAGTGGCGTCGTAAGGGCGCAACACCTCCAAGGAAATTCAGAGTCTGCCAGTCAACAAAAAAGGTGATGGCCACGATCTTTTGGGATTGTGAAGAAATTTTTTTGATATATTTTAAAGACACTAATACCACTGTCAATGGTAAATATTACGTAACATTATTACATAAATTGCGAGACTGCATACGTGTAAAACGTCGAGGAAAACTGACCAGAGGCGTGCGTCTTTTGCACAAGCTACCATTTTAGAGTGTGGGTTCCAACAGATAGATCATCCTCCCTATAGTCCAGATATGGCCCCCAGCGACTATTATTTGTTTGGATATTTGAAAAGGGACTTACGTGGACGGCAGTTTAACGACGAAATTGAGTTAAAAGAGGCTGTTTTAACTCATTTTGCAGACAAACCAAAAGAATATTTTTTTAAGGGGATTGAATTGTTAATAAAGAGATGTAATAAGTGTATTGAAGTGAAGGGGATTATATTGAAAAATAATAAAAAATTGTTACTCTACTTTGTTTCTTTCATATTCAGGCCGTGAAATTTTGACGCTGCCCTCTTATGTAGGCAAGAGGCTGAGGATCTCAACAAATTTTCCTAGCTTCCTAGATCAATTCCTGCTGCAATTTTGTTGTTATTTCCTGCGACCATGCAAAATGATGTTTTATATATTTGTATACCACCTAAACTTTTAATGCTTTTGACTTCTGCATGCATGCATATTAAACATTACCAAATAGTTATGATTTTTATTTACTGTTAATCTATTTTCTTCGATTTGCCTCCTTTTTGTATTTTTGCGGCCAACCGACCTGCATTGTGTTCGATTTTTGGCGGTTTTTGCAATATCTTTGTAATTTAACGAGATTTCTGGTCGTTTTCCAAGACCGATTGTTTTTTAGACTTTGTGATATGGCAAAAATATATACTATATACTAGATTTTGGTTCGTCTTCCAGCCAAACATTTGTGAGTAGTCGACCATTCTTAAATCTGAGCCGGGTAAACTGTTCACACATCAGCACTATTGTCTGTTTCTAGTACCAAAGGTTAGGTTTGTCTAGAAGAGGAGTCTTTGAGCATAGTATAACTACAAAACTATCGACCTCATTATTGACGTTCCTCACTAGTAATTTTGAAAGTACTTGAGAACGCGAATTGGGCAAGTGATAACATGCACATTTTTTGTCACGAGTTATATATTTAATAGAATGTAATGTATGTAATTTAATGTAATGTAATGTAATGTAACACTTTAGTTGTTCGTATCCGATCTATACCTGGAGATGGTCTAGCCGAATTTCTCACCTTAAAAAATAACACCGCTCGATGGTCCAGGTGCATTTTTACAGAGTTCTTAGATCGGTGGTATCTACCGCATTCATCTTCAGTTTCCATCATTTTTACTTTCTCATCGACAGTAAAAACAACAGTAGCAATTCAGTGTGCGCTACCACTTAATATTGTAATTGTATTAGTGTATTTTTTTCTCAGTTGTAGTATATAGTGTCACTATAAAAAATATACAAAATTCAAAATATGTCAGAAGCGGTAAAACTACAGGCAAAAGGAAAGAATTCACGAAAATGCAAATATCTTCTATACTCTGTACATAACAAAAAAATACTTTAAAAGTATGACAGCGTTCAGAATTCAGTGCTAGCAATAGTTTATACCAATTTTTTCTATCTTTCAAAGGACAAGATCTTTGGGAACAGAAATCATAATTTTCATACAGCAAAATACATAAATAATTAGAAAGAATTAGTTATATAGTTCTTTTGATTGTGATGAACTTCACTTGAACACCAGGCAGATTAAAATAAATCAAAATATGAAATATGGAATCATGTTTCAAATTAGGACTGCATTTGTAATCATCTCCATTTCCGTACTCCAAGGTGAAACATAAGCTCCAATACTAATGTTTGTTTAATTTCTTCGGCATTCGGGATTATGTCCTCACGACCGTGTTTTTAATCTTTATTTACCGCGATGACATTTTTTACCGTGTGCATTTTTTTTGTATTTCTGGTCGTATATCCATTCTTTTGACAGTATAAATATCTCCGGGATATGCTACTGTTCACCTGGGTCACGACAACAAAATGTTTCAAGGCTGCGAGTGTACGAGGTGCTGTACTCTCAGAAATTGTTACAATAGGGTGCTTTAAATATATTCTTTCTGTTTCTTCTTGTTTAGAAAATGCACTTGTACATAAATAAATAGATATAACACGATTAGTATAAGAAAAATGGAAGAAAATTGTCAATCTACTATGGAATTCAAAAAAGTCATAAAGAACATTTAAATTGTTTACATGTTTTATACATATTTTAGCTGTACCATTACGTGTGTGTGTTTTTTATTCGTTTTTAATAAAACATTTAATATTGCCATAGCTTTCATTCATTCACTAATACCGTATCGATTATCGTTATAGCTTAATTTATTTGAAATATGCAATTGATTAGTATTAACGAAATACGGTTAAGCTGAAATTGGTAATTGATGAATACAAGGAAAGTCAAAAATTACGTCATGTTCATTTAATACCCACATGCTACTTGCCTAAAATGTAAGTAGATTTAGATTCCAGAAGAAGCATTTCCTATTTTTTATTTTTCCTTATAAAAGTACGATTACCTCCAAAAAGGAACAGGCCAATAAAAAATAATTCACAGATTGGCTTTCAATTTTCTAAAGATGGTGCTAGTGCGTGCAAAAATGTCATTTATTTTTAACCAGCAGCTAATTTATATTAACTCAAATGGTTGTTTTAAGGCTTTAGATACTTTTGACGGCCCGGTATAGTGCCGACCAGAGGCAAAAGGTACGCTAAATATATTCAGCAATTTAAAGCTTGTTGTGGTTCTCTTTTATTGCATTCTCCGGTCTTAATATAGGAGATACTTGAATTCGAAACAACTTTTTACTTACATTTAAATTCGATGTCAGATTAAGCTCGTGCACGTATTATGTACTTGTTGCATTTCTAAAAATAGCCCTGCCCGACTAAATTTAGGCGTTACAACAGATTAATATTTTTAAAAATAAATATTTCGATGCCCACATACCCAGTGACCCAAGATAATATTATTCATAATTTTTTCAATCTTCTGTGTTTTGAGTCTTGCAAATTTCTTATAAAAACAAAGTAATTCATTGGTAAAGTGACTATATTGTAGATAGCGGTTGCTAAATTTGAACTTATTTAGGTTCTTAGACTTGCCTTAGCATCACAAGTATTTTTCCACTCGTTTTTCTGGCACTTTAATTACGGGTTCGGATGTTTTAGGTAGTTTTTTGCGATGATATTTTGACGTTTGTCCATTCTGTGAATGTATTCGTACTGTTTTGCATAAATGTACGCGCTTGGGCCAAAACAACTTTGTAACTGCAATTGCATTTTTCAAACCTTTTTTCATGTCTGTAATTTGTAACTTGTAATTTGTAATTTTTTTTAAATGAAAGTTTTTTTCCTTTTAAGAAATAGAAAACGTGTGAATGTTTTAAGATTATTATAACACCATAAATTTTATTTGTTAAAAATATTTTATGAAATGGTTTGATTGTTTTATTTCAGTAAGAATTATTTTTTTCTACTCCCGTCTGTAAAATACCTAATTACGCACCGATCTAGCGTTCGGGAAGCGTCGCTTTACCACGTCAGTTTCGTTTCCCACGGATCCGAGTCACTTCGAACCTTTCCGGGATTTTACCGCACGGGTTTGGGAGCCATCGGATGTTTTCGGAGATATTTTCCACGCTTTGAATTTTGACGTTTGTCAATTTTTTGGGTCAGTGGATGTATTAGTGTTGTTTTGCGAAAATGTGCCCAAAAACTAACGGTCGTAGAAAAAATATAGTATGCAACAAGTGCGGTAAAAGGCATTTCGTTCATTAAAAACTCGTCCGTTAAAAATTTTACCGAACGTGTTGCATACTATACTTTTTCTATATGCTATTTTCTATTGAAAAATTTGCCTCACTTTTCTATCGTCGGGCCAATTGCAGTTTAGATCTAGTTCCCTAGTTCCATTGTAATTCATGTTCATAGGACAAATATCCACTTTTTTTTTTTCGAAAATATTCGGTCCAATTTCCTTTATCTATGCTACTGCCAAAAATGTTTAAAAATATTTTGATATATTTGATAAAAAAAATAGAAATTATGAGCAAAATGTGTTTTTCCTTTTAAAAAAGCTAAGGCATTGCTTTTTGTTCAAATAAGAATTATGTTTGATATTGCCATTTATTTTAGTGTATTTTAAAAAAAGAAACGTGCTGTTCTGATATAAAAAAGTAAAAATAATTTTCATACTCAAATCTACAAATTTTGGTGTGGTATTTTGAATGCAAAATTCGTTTTCTATTGGTTTCAATATTTTTGTCAAACGTTGCATGCTTTAAACTACATTCAATTCCGAATTTTTTCTGTACCGATGGTCTGCAGTAATAGTACTTATGTGCTATTAAAATATTGTTTGCTGAGTTTAGCAACCATAATGAATGAAGGTATAGGTTATGTTAGTGTTGTTACCTTTTGGTTAGGTTATATTGTTTGGGTCTCGTATTTTTCAATAAAATGGTCATTGCCATTGGCTTTGAGGGAAGCGCAAATAAATTGGGGATCGGCATCATACAAGATGGAGTGGTGTTATCAAATTGTCGAAGAACTTACATAACTCCACCCGGCGAAGGGTTTTTGCCCAAAGAGACGGCTATTCATCATAGACAAAACGTCTTAGTCGTGTTGAAGGAAGCTTTGGAACAAGCTAAAATCACGCCGGAAAAAATCGATGTAATTTGCTATACGAAAGGTCCTGGAATGGGAGCCCCGTTAGCTACAGTCGCTTTAGTTGCTCGAACTGTAGCACAGCTCTGGAATAAACCTTTGCTTGGAGTAAATCATTGCATTGGACGTATCCTTTTTGCATTCTCTATATAGTTTTTGCAAAATCTGTCTTCGCAATTTCTTTAACAAAAATCTTATCCAGACATTGAAATGGGCAGGATAATAACGGGAGCTAAAAATCCTACAGTGTTATATGTAAGTGGTGGAAATACTCAAATTATAGCGTACGCTAGAAGTCGCTACAGAATATTTGGAGAAACCATTGATATAGCTGTGGGCAATTGTTTAGATCGCTTTGCTAGGGTTTTAAAAATATCTAATGATCCAAGTCCGGGATATAACATAGAACAATTGGCCAAAAAGGGAAAGAAATATGTACCTTTGCCTTATTGTGTTAAAGGTATGGATGTTAGTTTCTCAGGTTAGTATTTAAGCTACACCTACGTGTTGTGGTTTTAAATTATCGGGTTATTGACAGGAATATTGAGTTATATGGAAGAACATACCAAAAGTCTTCTGAAACAAGGCTATACAGACGCGGACTTGTGTTTTTCTCTACAGGAGACAATATTTGCAATGTTGGTTGAAACAACCGAAAGGGCAATGGCTCATTGCAACTCCAAAGAAGTGCTTATAGTGGGAGGGGTTGGTTGCAATGTAAGACTTCAAGAAATGATGAATGAAATGTGCAACGAGCGAGGTGGTAAATTGTTTGCAACAGATGAAAGGTATTGCATAGATAATGGAGTTATGATCGCCCACGCCGGCGCCGAAATGTATAATGCTGGGATGAAAATGAAATGGGAAGATTCCTTTGTGACACAGAGGTATAGGACAGATGAGGTGGTAACTGAGTGGAGAGATGATTAATGTTTTTTATGGTGGGGGTGGTATTTTTTTACACATTTTTGTTACAAAAAGGTTATCACAATGAGGCGATGCACATATTAAGGTAGGAGCAAAATTAAAACTGGATGCTTCAATGTTAACAAAAAAATTATAAATGTTAACAATACCTGTTAACTATTTGTAAAAGAAAACGAAAAACACTTTGTAGGAACCAATTTATTAAATAAAGCACTAGTTACAAAGGAAATGACTTCTGATTGCTTGGATAAGTTCTATAATCATTTCTAATAACATTGCCAGAATAGTAACCAAAACTTGAACTGGCTCTTAGAGCTAATGGCACATTAATTTTTTATTGAAGTTGTCTTCGTCCCCTGTGCATTTTAGGGATTTTTCTTATTATATTGTCAGTGGCAGTATCACTAATGTCATTAATATTGTAATTTCGTTTTCCTGAAAAAGTACAGGAAGTTTCTTCATCTACCACATATATATCTTTCGTTGCAGTAGTAGAAGAGCGGGCTGCAGATTTTTTACATTGCATATGCAAGTATTCATTGTCTGCGTTTCGCTGTGAATTGGACACGAATAGAAAGTTTTCTAGTCTTTGATTTGTAGAATCTGGGGCTTGTCTATGTAACCTTGGATTGTTTGTATTTATTTGCTTTGAATTTGTGAACATGTTAGTTCTTACACCACCCATTTTGGATATGCTAATGTCATCTACAGTTGACAAATGAGCCTTCGAATCCCCGTTATCCGTTAATAGGGCATCACCCTTAAATTCCATAACATTTGGTGTACTTACCGATTTCTGCTTTTTGATAGTTTTCTGTAAAAATTTTTATGTTTTGCGGATATATAAATGAATTTTTTTTTCCAACCTGTTTACTTTTTAAATTATTTAACGTTGTTGTAAGGCACCTCTGTTCATTTGACACCTTTGCCAAAGCTTGTTGCGCGTCTAGTATTTGTTTCTGCAAGCGAGTTTTTGTTTGTTCATATTCCTTGGATTTTGTTGCTTTTAATTGCGTAATTGTATTTTGAATGTCCTGCGCTACTTATTATTACGAAATTAGACCAGGAAAGAATGCATTTCGTATACTTAGACTTACCTTTTTGGTGGTAGACCGCTCGGTGAGCATCTAATTTATTATTGTATTCAGTTATCTGGCACTTAAAACGAAGTTCAGCAGCAGCAGCCTTTTCCGCATACTCAATTTTAATGGCCTCATTTTCAGACAGGGACCGTATAGTGACGGTATCTATTTCAAGTTTTATTTTTTTAAGTTCTTCCTCTGCCCCCCGAATTTCTTCTATATAAAACAACATTAAAAGGTACAAAGAGTACCATTAATTTTTAGATACATTTTTCCTAACCAAAACTGGTCTAAAAAATTCCTTAAATTGCTTAAATTTAACAAACTAAGAATCAATTAGATGAGTAAATCATATAGGGGACGGAGTAAGCAAGGTAAGAGTAAGAGGTAAAATTAATTTTGTGAAGAAGGCCCTTGAGATGATGTGATCATTTATTTATACAATAAAGCTAAAACCACGTATCACTTAATTTTGTGATTTTGTTCAATTTTTTTTATTTTTAAATAAATAATTAATGCAACAAGCAAGTCAAAATGACGATTATCAATTTGATTAAATTATTTTTAAGCAAGATCGCAAACATAAATTGGCAGCTTTACTAACAATCGTGAATTGATAAAGTTGTAAAAAAAAAAATCGGGTAAGTATAGAAATTGAATTCACTTATCAAGTTAATATAAATTATGTAATAGTTCTGAAATAACTTTAAATGTAAATTTATATGTATAAATTATATAGAAGTTGAAATTTCCTTGTCTTTAAAACACTTTTATATTCTGCTTATATGGTTAATTATTAAATTTTATTCAAGAACACGCAAAATATAAATGTTCGAAAACGGAAGTATATAATAATATACACCTTCTAACTCATCACAATCGGTTTTCAAATCTGAGAATTTAGCTGTTTCAAGTCGTTCTAAAATATGCTGTAGCCTTTCTTCTTCCTGTTTATTATCATATGCTCGTTCCTTTTGCAGATTTTCATATTGCTGCAATAACTCCTGTTTTTCTTTGTTAATGTTATCCTGAAAATATTGTTCCAGGCGCTCTCTTAAAAATTTATTGATATACAAACTTGAAAAATGGATTTTATTTGTTTGTTAAAATAATTATTTTTGTCCATTGTAAAAAATATTAATACAGATGATTACCAGGGTTTATTAGACTTTTACGAAATGGCATTTTGTTAATTTAATATTCACTGGTCATGAGTATCTAGATTATGGTACATGTTTATATGTCTATCAGATCTTAAATCTTAGCCGAACAATGTCAAGAATTTGCTTCAATTTAGTCCAACAATGGGCCTTTGAAATTGGAACCTATGACTAAGTAAGACACGATACGTTTTGGTAAGGATTTAAATATAATATATTCAGTAAAAAATGCAACCGTTAAAAACGACATTTATTTAAGTTCCATGTCCGGAAATATCTTAAGCATCGATATGTAAAAGCAGACAAGTTCCTTATAGAAAAGGTAAATACTTCCATGGCACTACAATAAAAAAGGCGCTAGTTGCTTAAGGCACGTTATTAGGTGATTGTGAATATCTATAATTTGCAATTCAATAACTTTCCACATTCCATCATGTTTTAAAATATAAATAAATATAACCATAAATAAACATTTTAAAAAGAAACAGAGTAAAATAAAGTAACAAATTTTTCACAATTTTAAGGCGATGCGACCTAAAAGTAAAAAAAAAAAAGTAAAATTTGGTGAAAAATTCAAATTAAATACTTACAATCAATAAATGACCGCTTTTATCCTTATGAATTCTTTCAGGATTGCCCACTTGAATCTCAATAGTTCCGTGCTTTCCATTCATATTATGTTCGATGCTAAAAATGCGATTGATTAGATTAAAAAAACCGAAATGCCAGTGTATGTACATTAATACTAAACCGTTTTTTTTTAATTTAATCTAATTAATCTAAACAAGAACATGCTTGGCTTGCTATACTCTGCATCTGCTAACAACCAAAAAATAGACCTATACAATGCGAAAGTATTTTTAATTAAGCAGAGGGTTTTATAAAAATATCTATTTCTTTGCATTTTGATGCGACTTAAATTTATTCAGAAAATATTTAAAAAACATGTTTTTCTCCGGATATTTTCGGAGATATTTCCCACCGGATTGGATTTTGACGTTTGTCAATTCTCACGGTCAATTATCTCATACAGGGAATTTCTAAAGTCTTGGCAACTAACACGTTCATCTGATTTTTTTTAACTAAACCCTCTGTATGTGACTACTAGATACGTCGCATTACATTGCAATATAAACCTCATAATATTGACGCAAAATATATAGGATGCTTCATTTAAAAAATATCCACATATTTACATCAAACACTGTTTTATTAAAAATATTTTTATGATATGTGCTTTGATATTAGCAATGTGTGTATTAAATCAATTTGTGAAAATGGTGATAATTATGTATTTTATATTCTATTTCTAATTGTAAATTAAAGTTTGTTTAATTACTTACGATTTCTCGTCAATAATTGTGAGCAGTGAAGGATCTTTTGTGACATCAATGATCATTGTAATCGCCTCTATTAAATGAGGAACCTCCAAAATTAGGTCGCCCTATAAAATAAATTGTAAGTCCTCGATGACTTAACAATAAGTAATAGTAAAAGTAAGTAATCGCTAATTTTGAACTTCTCACCTTATCTTTCTTTAGAAGATCCTCGGGTATACGAACTAGTACTAACTTGTCACTTTCGTGCGTTACTATAAATCTCAATCTCTTTAAAGGCAAGCAGTGCTTTTGTTTCACGGAATTTCTACAATCCAAAACATGAAGATTGTTCTGGGTTACTATTATAATCCTCTCTCTTGGTTTATAACCGTGTCGGTCATATTTCATTACACTACTGGCGTACTGGAAAACAAGAGTTTTGGTTTGAATTCGAAGAAGATTGGTTTCCTCTTATATTGGGCCCTGTTATGCATCAACATATACAGTCGAACTTCCATAAGTCGAACTACGATAACTCGAATTTTTGATAAGTCGAACCAAATTGGTTGACAATAGCGTCAAAAGTAGGAAATGCGTGTTAGTTTGTCTTGATTACTCGAATATCTTGATAACTCCAACGAAACATTTGGTGCCAACTTCGATAAGTCGAATTTTCTCGGGCAACCCCCTAATTACGACCCATCTTAACCTGTCTTTTTAACGTATCTATGCAAGCAGTTCAGTTTCTGTGCTTGCTTAGTTCACTTGTATGACTTACTAGTTAATACTAAGTGAAAAGTACTGTCCCTATTCAATTTACACATTATATTAAAGCCATTTTTGGATTTTTGCATTTGTTGATATGTCATCAAAACGTACTTTAAAAGCTTTGTCTGTTGATCAAAAATTCAAGGTTATAAAAGAAGTTCAAAAAATAAAGATGAAGTATGGGATTTCGGCAAGTACAGTGTCTACAATTTTGAAAAATAAACATTCAGTCATCACCGCAATGGAACGTTTCGAAGAAAACAATAACACACACTAATGGACTGTGTTGACGACGTAACTACCGTATGGAATATCGATGTTAAGCCTGAAACAATTTCCAATTGTTTTAAAAAAGCCGGTTTTGATCAGTGTTCTGAATGGGAAGAAGAAGATGAGATTCCCTTGATTTTCCTAAGTGAACGCCTGAAAGAAAAGAGTGAAGACGAACTCCAAATAGAAATCGAGTTTAAAGCCTCGACAAACATTAGAGGTATAGCAGAAGGTAGCACCATCAACGATTTTATACATGTGGATGAGGATATTGTTACTTCAGAGTTTCCTATTGATGAAGGTATTATCGAGTCCTGCAGATCCGAACCGGTACAGTTAAATATCGAAGATGACTGCGAAAGTGACACGATGGAGGAGGAACCACCTTCAAATGAATTGGTTGAAAATTCGTTGATTGTCTTGAGTTCCTATTTGAAATACACAACTGATTCCCTCTATGATTGTTTAAATAAAATTGAAGCTTTCGTTGAAAACGTTTCGTTTTTTGTTCAAAAATCATAGATTTTTAAAAATGAACGAATAAATGTTCATTCACAAAAAAGTACATGCATTTGTAGTTTTTATTGATAACTCGAAATTTTCATGTGTCAAATCGCAGTTCGACTTACCGAAGTTCGACTGTATTTACAGGATGATTCATATAAGTTAATATTGTTGACAAGAACAATTATGTACTGACTTTTGGTTAAAACTTTCTTCTTGATTTAAAAAAAAATTTGTTGGGTCTCAAAACTGGAACTATTGGTCAAAGATAAAATTCATAGTTTACGACGACAACTAAGAGGACGTTTGCCTAATCAACCAAGCATCATCACTATAAACTGTTGCTCGGTTAGCTTTTTTGGCTCTTTGTCTGCTTTTAATATACAAGGTATCAAAAAATATATTAACTGTGATAAAACGTTAACTTGTCACTCAACTAATAATTATGAATTCCAATGGCGTCCAAAATAACGTATAAAAAAAAGTAGCGTGGATACATCGATCAATGCAATTTATTATAATAGGGGCGTATTCATATAATGTTAGCACATCTTTATAACAGGTTAAATAAAATCATTGGATTGGATTGGATTATTCATATTTTTTTATATTCTAGAAATTATTGTTATTTAACTATCGTTTATTTCTTTTTTTTTTAATTTCAATTTTTATTTTTACTTTTTTGTTTTGTTTGCAGCTCATATATTAGTATTGGCTGCAGAACAGAACGGAAAATGTATTTTTTAAATAATAAATAAATAAATTTGTAGTTCATTGAAAATCTTTATTTCAGTAATAAGTGAATATACTTACGAATTACCCTCTGCAATGTTATTTTCAGAAAAAAATATTTAAAATAACTCACCACTTCTTTGTCTCCGTTAAGCTGCAAAGAGTAACTAGTTTTTAAGGCTGCACTTGCAGCAGATACTCTGTCGTTAATAAACACCTCCGATATGCTTGTTTGGTAACTCTTTTTCTTATCTGAAATATTTGTCCATTATTAAAATATCGCGTGTTTTTAATGGATATAGTTGCCTTTAAAAAGCTTCTCCGCCAAAACTTTCAATTCTAAAAGTCGTTTTCTTTCTGGTGTCAATGCCAATCTAAAATATTAACCGAAAATCTTAATTCTCGCTTATTTTCGTGGTTTTCGCGCAAATTACCTGTAAGTTCTTGACATGTGCGCCTCGTACATAATCTCCAGGTGCTTTGACGCTTCCTGACACACTTTAGGACACGGGAGCCAAGTTCTATGGAGAATGTTTTGAGGGAGATTCTTGGCTAACCTCTCCAACCAATTAATCTTTGCAGCCAGAATAAAGGCTTTATTGTCGTCATTAGGTGGATCATTTCTTGTGATGTAACCACGAATAAACCTTCGAACGAAGATAAATAGATAATGTATAATCAACAGATGAAATGTCTTACCGTCTAATGGTTTGGGCCGCTTTTCTCCGTTTGAGAGCGTTTCGCTTGGCTAAGTGCCGTCTTACGTATTTCTGGATTATGGTTGCCGACTCCTTCATCTTCAGGTACCTTCGCCTTTGCATCAGACCTTTCCAGGCAGCCTGAATTATCGCTGCGATATCGTGTTTTTTTACTTGGAAGAGGTCTTCTGTACGAAACAGGGTTTGAGGGTGTCTGATGAATATTTTCGTTCTGAAATATTTGTGGAAATGTGATGATTTCTATATAATTGTTTCTCTTTTGGCATTTCCATTTTTTCATTAACTACATTAAAAAAAAATTCATTGATATTTTTCTTTATCATTCAAAATTTGATGAAAATAAAACCAAAAACATGTCAAGCTGAATTCTAAATGGAAAGAATCTTTTGGTATAGTTAACTTTGGATAGAAACTATAAGAATAATTTTTAATTGTTTGGTTGCCATACAGGCGTTTATCACGAGTCAAAAAACAGTTAGTATTAATGTTTTTTCAAAATTTTTAAAATATCAAGATACCCAGGAAATCCGAAGGAATATATATTCAATTCTTGTTAGAAATCCAACAATGAAATGATAAAGCAGACCTATAGAGAATACTGTATACGACTGAATACGACAAAGACTTATCAAGATATTGTTTTGCGTAAAAATACATTGTGTTTTTTCGTTTCATGAATTGCGTTTTTCGAATATTCGAATATTCGAATATTCGTATAAACATAAAGCACTTGCTTCACTTATTATCTATTCCAAACAAGGGAAGCAAAAAATTTTCAGCATTTGCTTTTTTTCATAATGTCACTGACCTTCCCATTTGATATTCATCTCTCTCATAACCGAGTGTGCACACTAAATGCTGAACTCCGTCCTTTGCAGAACCGTAAAAGTTGGGCCACGTCTCTTTACACAGCGATTTGTACCTCCTAAGGAACAGTTCGTATAACCGCCTATAAGCAAAGCCCGCTCGCCTCACTCTAAGATTTTCCATCAATCCCAGATATGTCACTTGATGCTTGACTTTTGTGACGTCGAAAAGATCTGTAATTTACCCATTATTACGTTTTTCCCATAAATATCGTCCACAAACAATTTCTTCGTACCCGGTCTTTTAAATTCGTTCGGTTTGATGCACCTAATATAGGATGGTTCCTTGTCCCTCAGAATCAACATCAAATTGTTCACGGAGTTTTTGAATTGCGTGATCGCGGTATCCGGCCGTTTCTTGCTCTTCTGTTCGGACTCCAAAAACACAGCTTGGAGGACGCTGTTCTTCGAGCTGCACATCGCCTCCCGCAGGTCTCTAAAGAGGAGATCGTTGTTTTTCTCGATAAATGTCCTGACGTTGTACGTTACTGCGCCGGCGTAGTGGATCAGACGAAATTCCTGAGGAAGATTAACGAATGTTCTATTCGTATACTGCTAGCTTCTCAAAACTCACGTCTCGCCCCATTATTTTCTGAAGTTTGGAGTCGGCTTTCATGTGACTTATATAATGATTGTGATAGCCCAATTGTTTATTTAATTTAGCTAGTAAGGTGAGGTCATTCGGATCGCCGGGTCGTAAGCATTCTTCATCCATGAATGCGATCAGCCCTACAAAAAGAACTGGATGGGTAGGGGTCATACTATATTGGGAATTTTGATGGGTTGAAATTATTAAGTCTTTATTTTAGTTCTGAAGCAGATATTAATGTCCGGAATTACGTCTAAACTCTAAAACCCCAGCAGATTTACTTTTACTATTTCCATAGCCGGTATTGGTATTGGTATTAAAGGGGGGCGCCCTCGCGGGCGTCCAAGCACTTAGGCCACCAGATGGGCCCGTTGTGCCCCCAGGCCGCTCTAGAGGGCGTCCAGAATGCCGCCCCTCCTATAGAAGGTCAGCAACTCCTTTAGCCCAATACCGTGCACTGAGTCCGGATCGATCAGGGCCGTTCCGCTATTTCCATAGCTTTTACCTTTATGTTTTTCCTCAATTAAATCACAGATAATCTTATTGTCAAAGTACTGAACGTGTTCCCATTGGATTCCTTCTTTTTCGTACTCGTCCTGTTCAGATTTTAGAGTTAGCTCGATGAAAAGCTGTTGCAACTTCTCGTTGCAGAAGTTAATGCACAGCTGCTCAAAGCTGTAAAAGGATCATTTTTCCAATTGTTAAAAATATCTTTACGGTCGTTACCTGTTCTTCTCGAAAATCTCGAAGCCGTAAATATCCAAAATTCCCATGACGGCTTTCTTGCGAGAATCCTGCGCCTGCAGGGAACTATTCAATCGTCTTACTAACCATGTGAATAGTCTGTCGTACACGGCCTTGGCTAAGGCGTCTCTTGCATAAACAGCCAGTTCTCTGTGTAGCGGACTCGTCACCAAATCCCTCGTAGTTTCAATCGTTCTGCGTGTAAGAGCAAGCTTTAGCTGTTCTGCGTCGCATTTAAGTATCTGGAAAGGTTGAAGTAGACAATACAGGGTTCTTAAAACTCGATGGCCTGTTAGAAGTATAAACAGAATGGAAAAAAAAATCGTATTTATATCATCATATAATATCACATTCTAATATAAGACAACAGAGGGATCATGTTTTTTTTTTAAATATTTTTCCCCAACAAGTTGGTAACGTAGAACTAAAATTAAAAAACAATCACGGCATCATTGAAATATTTCTTTTGGGAATCGTAATATGCAAAAATAAATAAATGTCTGCATTGCTATACTTTTATGAAACACCCTGTATAATTGAAAATGTTTTTAAAAATTTATCTTTTGACTTTACGTACCATCTGCAACAACTTTTTTGAAAACAATGATAAATAAAAGGAATATAGTACGTTACCATAATATTACATCACCGTGTGTTTAGTTTAGAAAAAGAGCTGAAAATCACAGCAGTGATTTAACTGAAAGAAAACAAGGAATTACAGAGAAATTTTTTCATGGTCTGTGGCAGGGTACTACTTTTAATGCATCATAGGCTTTTTTATGCTTACAGAAACATGATCTCCAAATCAAAAAATCAAAATCAAAAATTCTTTTTACCTTTGAAACTTGAATATAATTTTTAAAAACTATAGCAGACAATTTTGCGGGATTAATTTTAAGTAAAATAATAAAGTAAGTTATATCGGAAGTAATTGGTGTCGTCGGCTTATGCAGGATGTTCGAAAATAATGGTGGTAAGTCATGTAACACAAATTCTAAATCGTAATATTTTCCGAGTTATAGCTTGTCAACATTCTTTTTTTTTTAATTTCAATTTTAACGCAGTCATCGTTACAAAATAAAAGTGTTTCAGAAATATGTCACTAGAGGACACTTTACCTAGAACATTTTTTAAATTTTTCCTGTATTTTATTGATTTGGACTGATATTGAAAATTAGAGCGGATTGCCTTAAGCAGAATTACTCTAGATTTAAGTCGATAAGTGTTTTCGTTTAACCACGAATCGATTTTTTATTCTCGAATCGAATTTTATCTATAAATTTGATTTTACCTAACAGGACCTAATGAAATTGGAAAACGTCATTGTCACAATCCGTTAAAAATTAATTTCTATTAAAAGAGCTTATTATCCAACTGCTACTGTGTTGGCCTATCAGGAATATTCAAATACTGAATATCGCGATATGCATTTTTGCTACGGAAGAGCAATTGGAAATGCAGATCAAGCACTGACAGCTTTATATCGAGACTTATCCCAATAGAAACATCCATCAACATACACAGAAGACTTGGTGATGATATGAATAAAGGGAAACCAAGGTATATAAGAACCACTGCAAGAAAAGAAAGAATACTTCAAAATGTGGAGGCTGACCCGTCAACGAATACGAGAAAACTTGCTGCTCAAGAAGTGGGAAGTTTTGCATGAAAATGATCTTCGGTCCTTTCATGTTGTATGAGCGTGATGAGCAATTGGCAGTAATTTTATGCAATGAAATCTTAGGAAATTAACCGTAAACGAGGCTGCAAATTTTCGAAATATGCATCAGTGGAAAATTGAAATCCCACATGCAAAAATTGAATGAAAACATCATACATTTCTATAAATGTATGGAGATAATCTTATGGGACCTCTTTTTGTTAACGGATCGCTTAATGAGGAAATATATTGCAATTTCTCCAAGAGGCCGAGAATACAAAAGTCGATTTGTGGCTAGACGACAACACTTATCGACTTAAAACAAGAGTAGCAATTTTTGAGGATTTGTGATTCTGCTTAAATCGATCAGTTCTATTTTGCAATATCGGTCTAAATAAATAAAATACAGGAAAAATAAAAAATGTTCTAGGTAAAGTGATCTCTAAAATGATTTTTGACAAGCCATAAATCGGAAAATATTACGATTTTTGTTAGATGGCTTACTACCATTATTTTACCATTATTGAATCTTTCCTCCAAGTTTCCTAACTCAATTTCCAAACACCCTGTAGATGATATTTAAGATGAAACGATGACAAGTATAAAAAGTATACACTAGAGATCCCAGGGATCCCCTAAGGTACTTCGGATTTAAAATGTCGATGCTGTTTGAACGCGATTCATTAAGAAGTTCACTTGCTAAGTTCGCTCAGGGATGAATGATTTCACCAGGCTCTGAGCAACATCATTCAGCATAAAAAGTCATGATTGACCATATCAAACGCTGTCAGCAGTAACGAATAACTCATCCGTTACATCGCCAAACAATTAAATCCTTATCTAATTAATGTCAATTACATAAAAACCGTATCGTATATTACTTTTAGATTAAGAATGAATCCCTCTTTTTATTGTCATAACATTTATAACATTTTTTATTCATGCTTAATTTATATTTTAAGTTTTACGAAATGTGACATTTAAGTACATATGTTTTGTCAAAGTTTAAGAATTTTACGTAGAATCTAAGAATATATACTTCGTATAACTTATACTACCTTTGCTATAGTTTCAATCAAATCTGGTTTTACGATCACCGCTTTCCCTTCGGTTTCCGTGAATCCGACATTTCCCAAATGCAAAATGGCGGCAACAATAGCGAACATGTCTTCTTGTTCGGATTCGGAAAATTCCAGTATCTTGAGGGCCCTCTCTACCTCTCTGAAATCTTTGCTGTCGTTAACGGTAAAAGTCTGGGGTTTCACCTAAAATATAAGCGTTGTAAGTCATAATACAAAAGCAAAATATCCACCACGGTTTTAAATGGTTTAGTTTTCTAACTTCTTGCTAAAAATAATAATCCACTCTAGTTTAGAGTTAAGTACTTCAAATTTTAATGAGTGTTATCCAGGATCAGAATAAAATATAATATACAAATTGCTATTTTTCAATTATCACTTGCGAATGATACGGCAACAGAGCATTCCTAAGTACTATAAAATATGGGCAAAAACTATCCTTCTTATCACACTCTTACCCCATTTGATAAATAGTAGTAGGAGTTAACGTCTTTCTTCAACGCCAGTTCTTGTAGTCTTTCATCGCTGGAACCTTCTAAAAATTGGTAAAAAATATGGAAGTTCCTCTCCCCTGGAGATTGACTGATAACTCTGGACTTTTCCAACAGGTAGTTCAATATGTTCCCTCCGATTGGGTTTCCCTAAATTCGTTTATTTGATATAGTTAATTATTATTTATAATTTATACCCGATTACTTCAAAATTGAACTGCACGTCCATAAATTTTCCAAACCGACTGGAGTTGTCATTTCTGTTGGTCTTTGCGTTCCCGAACGCTTCCAGGACCGGATTAGATTCCAGCAGTTTGTCTTTGACCTTCTCTATTTCGCCTTTGCGCTCAGTTACTTCCGCAATGTACTGGAGTACTTTTTTGGAGGCCTCGGTTTTGCCGGAACCCGATTCTCCTAATTCAACAATCAACATCAAAAAGAAAGTGAAAGTGGTCTTACTTATTACCTGAAATTAAAATACATTGTTCTCTGTTTTCTTCTCTCAGGGACCTATACGCTGTGTCCGTAACTGAAAAGCTACAAGAGTGTTCGGATAATAGGGTGAACAGTTATTAAAAAAAAAAAAAAAACTTACACGTGTGGAGGAACTTCAAAAAAATGTTTCCTTTCATAGGATTTCACATCTTTTGGGCCGTAAATGGGTAGTTCTTTGTAGGGGTTTACGCTGACCAGTACCGGCCCAATATAAGTCTAGAAGAGCAAGATGTCGTTATTTTATGCATATTCTATTTCAATATTATAAGGCCAACCATATGATATTTACGTTTATCAGGATATTATAGTTAGTAACTAAATACGAGTTTTTGTAACACTTAATTTACATTTACGACCCTCAGTTCGTAGCACTTGGCAGTATAGAATAGAATAGTCTAAGCAAATTTAGTTAATTTCCATGAATGCCGTAATTTTCTGGATTAATGAATATCTGAAAACAATCAAAATAAATTTAAATTTTTCAAAATATTAATTATACAGAATATAAAGATTCGACTTCGGTAAAATGTGTTTAAAAACATTATGTTGACTGTTATGTGACCGGCGAATCTTTTTAAGTATCGCCTAGATCATAAAGTGTATGATGTAACTTAATGCTTCTCAAAATTTTGTACGAATTTTAAATCAATAACAAAATCTTATGTTAGTTATTTAGTATTTTATTTATTATCGTCTTTGCTAGAAACACGATCAAGTGTTGCAAAAATTCTAATTTAATTAATAATAATTGCTGTAATATAAGGCATACATAAACAAAAATATATAATTGCTTACGTCAGTCTTTGTCAGACGGATTTACACGTCAGTCATAATGCCCTTAATCTATCAAATTTATCAAAACCCACTCTGACAAAAAGGCAAAGGAAAAACGAGCGAATTAAATGTATAAAAATAGCTATTTGTGCAGTTAGTGCAAAAAAAGCAATATGTTTATATGTTCAAAATATTATTTTTTTGTAAAACTTTTAAATTTAATCTGGTAAAGAAATAATAATAATAAAGATTCATTTTCTCTGCAACGAGAGGTTAAAATATTTAATAAGTTTTATAGGTGACACTTTAGTCACAAGTTTCAAAACATATTACATACTATATTTTTCTTTCCAATTTTGAAAATAGTTTTTAGCATTATCGATGACAACTTACATAAATAACATCCGCATTGAATCTTTTGTTTAGATTGTCAACAAAGGCGTCTTCGTTCGTATAATCTTCTAAGAGCACTGCATCCTGAACTCCAACCCTATCTCTATCGAAAAGATTTGATTCCATGACTTAATCTGCAAACAAATCTATAATTAAAATTATTACCTGCAACACGTCTTTTTAATTAGGTAAGTCGTTTTTATTTTGCCAGAATCTATATTTTATTTTTTATTTTCTTTATTTAATATAATTATCGAAAACATCAAAATCTCCATTTTAATCATCAGTGCAACACTGTCATAAACGAGTGCTATCAAATTATTGTTATCTAATTTTAGAACTCATAAACATCAAAAATTCCGTCATAATTCTGATTTTATTTGTTCAGTACAGCATATCTGACTGGCCTCAAAATTCTGAAGAATGAAATATATTTGTAATTTTACATGTCAATTATATACATTATTATCGTGCTGTAATTTATACTTTTAATCTCTCAAATGAGCTTAAATAAAAATGACGATCGATTAGAGCAATTTGCATTGTTTAAAAGTGGCTTCCAATTTATCTTAAAGTTTAATTCCAATAAGAAACTTCACGTATAACTCACGAGTCAATTACAAGGTGCTTCTAAAATAACACTACTTTTAAATTTACTTTATGTTATATACATTTGATATACATATATATAATAGCAATATTTTTGGTAGTTGTGGTAACCTTTGGTAGGTTATTATTATGAATTGTTTCAGGGAAAAACATTTTACCGAATTGTATATTCATCTATTGTTAATCAAAGCTCTTAAGATATTGAACTATGCCAAACTAAGTGATTCAAGATGTAGGGGGTCTAACATTTCTATAGACGCTATCGAATAAATTGTATTTCTTTTTTTTTTAGTTTTAGTAGAAAACCTGACGACGATAGTTTTGTACTATCGAAACATGTCGGTTTAGAGGTTTTGTCTTGAAAACTTCATCGCTTATATATTTTGTAGAGAAAGACCCCCCTCTTACCTTTATTGAGAAATGTATTCTACTGGAGAAAGAAATATATTTCATTTCCTACACTGCATTCAATTGTATTTTTCAACATATGGAATTATAAGCAAAGTCAAAAACATTATAAAAACTGGAGTGCAAATATGGGCAGTGCTATAGTCCAGACATTTTTCGTTCTTACCTTCGATAACACAATATGCAGAGATTATAAGTTTTTTGTTTATAATTTGATACACAAGTTGTTCCTGTTATTCGTTTTTTTTAAACTTTTTATACTGTATGTATTTTTCTTGTCAATAAAAGGAATTGAGATCGACAATCAAGTAAATCTGACCTTTGCGTACAAGTTGGATGTTTACAGAAATACAATCTCCGTTTCTGCTGCCTCTCTAAACGTTACAAATCTGTGCGGTGATTTATTGTGAACCTTCAGGGCATCCTTACCCTCCACATAAGTAATTAAAATAATGAAACGCAGGATGGTTGTACAAATAAGGGCCTCATAGAACCACCTGTTGATTTAGAAAATAATTGTAGCAATTGCAAGCAATTATATAACGTACTTTAATTGCATTTAATCTTTAATCATTGTTGTAATCGGATATTTCGAGAATCTTATCAGTTGATAAAATTTTAAATGAAATTATTGTATGCCACGTAAACTTCTCATTTGATTGTCAATCACAAAACGATAAATTGAAACTTGTTTAAGATGGCAATTTTTGATGGGAATTAGAAGGCCGACAACAAAAATTTAATTTCCTTGTCAAATGAAAATGAAAAAAATATAAATTTATCTCGTCAGCTAAGGATTCTACAAAATAATTGTAAATTTCTTATAATAGTGATAAAAAATGTAAAAATATTGACAATCAATTTAATCCAAACTCATTAAATTCATACACCGAGCAAAAATCTTGAGAACTCCTACGAGTGTACGATGTTGGATGACTCCAAAATCGATACGTTGACAATAAGGGAAATTACCACCTGTTTGGAACAATTTGATCATTTTACTACATGTTGTAGGTTTGTTCGTCAAAAAAATCTTTCTATTGAATATTCAACAGAATACGGTAACATAAAACACCTGTTGCAATTTACTAGCATTTACTATTTGCTAATTGCAAAAATGATACTGTTTAAACAATACTATGAATAATGAAATTGAACTTAAAACATCCTTAACTTTGAACTGAACCGAAGCCTCAGTTTTGCTGAAATTATCACAACCTGTAACGCCGTAGTCGCCCAATACCGCTAAAAATGAAAAGGATCTAGATCAAGATAAAATGGATTTTTAACGCATGTAAAATGTTAAAAATATTAAAGAAAACGTGAGTTTTATTATTATATTATAAATAATACATTACAAACAATTACGAATAATTCTACAAAAAAAAAATAAAAAAAAATATTCAAATCAATTATAGGGAGAAGAAATTGGAGGTTTACTATTATATTATAAATAACACATTGCAAATAATTATGAATAATTCTAAAAAATAAATTAAAAAATCTTGGAATCTATTTATTACTAAGAAGAATAAATGTGGAAGGTCGAAAAACAGATGGCAGATGGAAGATATGAGTTTCTAAGACTCATAATGCCAAGAAAATTGAAGGTAGCAAGGACAGGAGACAACGCTGATTTCTGAGAAATGTGATAAATTCGTTTAACCTTAGAGGCACGGAACGGGGAGCGATTTGCCAAAGAAGTAGACGATACAGTGAGTAAAAGAATTTGGGTTTTTCGATGTACGACATACAGCAGAACACATATTTGTTGTAAAGATAAACTAGTTAAATATTGGGGTAGTATTTAATAAAAAAAAACGTTACTGATTGGTAACTATTTTTCTCTAGATTAAAAAATTTGTTATTGATATTTATTTTTCGAATCCATAGAATTATCCAAAAAATAATACTTTCAATAAATTAATTATGATTCGGTTATAATAATATGGAACAGTTTTTTTTTAAGCATTCCATTTTACCCTTGGTATTACGCAAAGGACTAAAAATATACAAATAACCAGAATTTATAATTATTAGAGGAAAAAATGAAAAAAAATTGATTAATTTTTGAGGTGGGCCTCCTGGCCCCACCCTTCCCTATATATCGGGGCAACAAATATATTATTATGATTACTTCATTGCATTTTATTACATCTTATCTGAATTATATCAGATTTTCTTATTAAAAGGGTACTTCCCTTTACTTCCACGCCAATTGTTGTGTACGTAAAAATAGCCGACGAAAAATTAGCAGCTTTTTTCACTTTTGTGAAGGATCGATTTGCATAATTTTGAGATTTTTCAGAAGAACGTCTACAAAATATGGTGTACTGTTGGTTAATTATTAAAAAAAAACGTGGCTTATTAGGAACCACATCGTACTGCTTCAGTTGCTATTTAGCGGCATTTATGATGTTTTTTGTAACTTTCAACTGCTAGTCTACGTTATTGTATCGGTCATAATGTTTTGTTTTCTAACATTTTAAGGATTGGAAAACAATTTCGATAATGTCGGCCGAATGCGACCCAAGCTGCCTCGATAACTGATAACCTTATTTTTCCCGTTCCGCAACGAACACTTGATAAAATATGTTTAACTTACCTTGTTATAATAATAAAATCGGTATTATTAACAAATGCCTAGACCTTATGGGCCTTCCGACGACAGTAGTTTGCTTACTAAACTATTCGCGAGCAGCGGACCGAGCGCATAGAATTTTACCCATTAAGATAAGATTGGGCTTATCTTGGATTTATTGTCTACTGAAGCACAACACGTCATTGTCGATTTTTTTATCGATTCGTTACCTTTCGGAAAAATATATTGATAACGGCTTACGATACGGCCCGGTTGCCGTCGATGTCATCAATAAATTCTGATAAAACATCGCTAATTAATAGTCGATAAGGATCTCGATCGCCATTCATTTAAATTCGATTGATAGTCTGGATAATTATTAAGACCAATTGGGTCAATACAATCAACCGTTAATAAAATCCCGTTTTTCGGTGCTATTAGCGTACTTAATAAGTAACAAAAAACAGTCAAAATACGAGGGATATTGTTGAAGTACTGAAAATTTAGCTACAATTTTTATTAATTTATTAATTTTTATCAATAATAATTACAATGTAGTTTTTAACAGAATACATTTCTCCCGACAATAACAATTTTTTTTAGCTGTCCTCAAAGACCTTTTTCTGTCATCTCAATTCACCTATTTATAATTACCTATTAATTACGTCAGTTAAACTTTTTTTTTCAAATCTGGGAGCAGGTTATATTCACAGGGTACAAGTTGCTAGAATTAAAGTGGATTTTTGCAGTGCGAATAATATTCTAGTCTTATAACGGCTTTTAGATAAAGATCTTCTTAATTATTGTTAATAACAATTGTTCTCTAAAAAAATTGATTTTCGTATTTCTCAAGGCAAGGCAAGGCACCGTCTTAAAATTAATAAACTCTGAACTTGTTGAACACCTTTCAAGATTTAAGATTCGAATTTGGAAGAGTTAGCAATCGGCCTATCCGTCACTGCGACACAAATGATCTATTTTGATTCTCTCCATAATTATAGAGCTTTCTCTAGGTTCGTCTCTCTGATAGGCCACATTAGCATAGCACGGATCTGCATTCAGTGTTTTCTTCTACTCCCACTAAGGTGTAGCCGCCTCTTAAGCGGTTTTTATAGCTTAAAAGGTCCTGTGCAAAAATGGACTTCCGAGGAATTCCTTGGTCTATACTTGTCCTGGCATATCTCTCCGCATTTTATTCAAATTAGTACCCTAGCAATATTTTTATTCAAATGATCGAAAAATTAAAAATGCTGCTAAATTTTACTTTGTTTAGAAATACACACCAATTACGATCAAATGAAAATACAAAGAAAACCATTTATATAAGCTGATTCACGGTGTATAGCGGGATAAACGTTTGAAACAGTGCACCAATAAAATATTTATTACTCTCGTGTTTGAGTTCTTAGAAAACTGCAATTTCGTGCGCAGTTTACCAATGTCACTTTTCTTAGTTAGGTGTAGAAAGGCTTGGAACATACAATGAGATTTTATCCCTTGACACAAAAATGGAATTTCCTGTATTCTTGGTATAGT